CGTTGCCGGCGGTGCTGTTGGATGTGGAGAATGTTGGTGAAGAAAGAGGCCTCCTCATCATCACCGACGAGAAGAACGTGCATGTCCTGCACAGAGGGTCTGGTGGGATTGAGTTTGACGAAGTAGCCAATGACAGCGATAACTTCAGAGCGAATAAGTTCAGACTTCTGCCGAATGCCGTATTGCAAAGAGGGGAAGAGAACATCATTGATGAGTGCCTCAAAGTCTGTGTCTGGTTTTGCGGACGCTCTGTCGATGAATGTTCTTAAACCAAAGGAGGCGCTAGATCGGATAGCAAGCTCATCTTCATCCCTCAAATGGAAAAGCATGTTGTAGAGAAGAGGCTTCCACTGCTTCGCGCTTAACGTTTGAGACAGCTCGTCGCTGACTATTCTGAAAGCCTGCAAACGTCTCGCATAATCGGGTTCAAGTCTTTTAGTTGAGCGAGAGTTTAGATCTGCACACAAGTCGGCAACAATCTTGAGGTTCTCGTCGTGCGTAGCAAGAGCACCAAAAACCCGGGCCAGTACTTCTCTGTTCGCGTCATCCTTGAAGTAGTCGAACATCGAGCACACAGCATCAAACACTTGTTGGGCAAGCTCGGGATCTTCCTTGGGGTCCCACAAGGGCAAAAAGTGCTCGAGAATTTTCAGCAAACCAGACTTGGTTTTGGGGCTGACACGATCTGCGGGCTGACGAAGCATATATGTCGTAATTCCGACAAGGCTAGCGGTCTCTTTGGAGGATTCGACGCAGGGGGCGATCAGAGAAAGAGCATTGACTCCGGAGTAAAGAACAGGCTTCGAGGGGCCTCTCTTGAGAAGACGGCCGAGATGGAAGAGAGCGTGCTCCAGGTAGGGAGAGAGTACCTCGGATTTAATTTGCTCAGCTGGGAAGTCAGACATCTCTTCGGCTTCCTGCAACTTTTTGCCCGTAGACAGCTCAACCAGCGGTATGAGGACCTCATCCAAGATAAAGTTCTTCACTTCATCGCGGGCAGACTCGACCGCGAGACAGTCAATCACCTTGGTCAAGACCTTGTCATTGTGCTGTACTAAGTAGAACGTTGACCTTGGGGCAGCGGCCCAGGTGGAAAACAATCGTAGAAGGCCTGAAACACCCTGTGCTGTCTCAATAGGGAACTGATCCAGTCTGCTGTCAATCATCTCCTTAAAGATGATACGGACGTAGGGAGTCCAATCGTGGTTCGGAACAATCGAGAATACCAAATTGAGACAGCGAATACACGCAGAACGAATATTTTGGAACACAGGCAAGAGACGTTCATCAGGGCGATCGCTACCCTCGTTAAAAATCGCCCGGCATGCTCGCACCAAACAGTAGACAACCACATCCATCGTCTGCAATGCAAATTCAGTCATCCGAGTTTGAAGTGTCTCAAAGACAGTATCGATCAGCTTAAGCAGACCCAACTGTCTTCTTGGGCTGGTCAACTCTTCCTGGAAAGCAGTCTGATCGCACTCATTGTTGTCTTTGACAACGTGCACGTCTGCAAGAGGACCAAAGGACAGCTGCATGAAAAGTCCAAAATCATGTTCTGAGAGGTGCGAGATAGTTCGCAGAATGGTCTTTCGTCTGCCGGCTTGGCCAGCGGCGGCCGAGCCAGCCTTAGAAATCATTCGACCATAGAGTAGTCGAAGGACCACGGGGAGGAGAACTGCCCGGTGCTCTTGTTGAATTAGACTTTCTTCGTTGCCAACATGCACGAACACAGCAAGTTCATCCTTGAATCTAGCCTCATCCAAGAGATTAAGTAGGTTTTCTTGATACGGACGCACATTCGGATCTTTCCAGGTGAAAAGGACATTGAGCGCATGTTTCTGTAGGTCAGAGTTACCATGACACAGGAGTCCTAGGACCGCCGCATGAACCTCGGGGGCCTTGAACAACACAATGGGGTTAAGGAACCGCGCGAACAAAGCAAGCATGGACAATCGATCCCGGAATCCCCAACGCACTTGCACATCATCAGTCTCAATATCTTCGATTTTCGCCTCGCCAGTTGGGGGCGCGTCATCTTGGTCCTCACGCAATGCCCAGGACAAGAACAATGGCACAATCTGGCGCGAGCGTTTCTCGGCAACGCCCGGTGCAGCATTCAAGACACGAAGTGCATGGGTTCGCGGGGAGGCTGGAAGGATGTTTGCGACTGTGTGGTCCTGGTTAAATTGTCGAGATAGGACATGATAAGGATCCTCTGTGCTCTTGGTATTTGCAGCGAGTACTTTTTCGACCTTCGCAACATTGTAACACTTGAAGTGGCTCTTGACGAAAGAGCTTTCGTCGTCTTCTGTTGGAGCGTCGCTGGGCGCTTCGGTGTCCCGTTCTGACAGCCACTGGATGGACAAATCGGACACAATCTTCTCTCCTTGGGGATTTTCGCTAATAGTCTTCAATGCAGCAGCAGAGTCATCCCACAATGGGGCCAACTTCTTCGAGAACAATCCGAAGCAGAAGTAAGGGACCAGGGTGGCCATCCACCTGCGGTGGGCAATTTGGGGGTAGAGAATCGCAAGTTTGCGGATATGCATAGAGATTGTTCTCACCGAGTCCATTGTCAGCGGGCTCTCTTCGACTTCGACGGCCAATTCCACGGGCGAGGGGTCATCTTTGGCAATGCGAACAATTAATTCCCGTAGAAGCTGAAGAGATACCAGCCTCAGCCTGTGCGACGGGCTTGCCAGGTTCACAATTAAATCTTGAGCAAAGTCTTCCAGGGTGGGATGTTCGAGGTCCGCGGACTCTGGGAGAGAGGAAATGAAAGCAAGTGTACCCTCCAAAAAGACTGGCAGGCGGGAGAATTTTGTAGCAGTGGCGATGATCGGTTTCAAGAGATTCGAGTCAAGCTCTTCAACTTTATTAGCGAGTTCGACATACGTCTTGAATCCTTGACCAAGGAAGAACACCAGGCCCTTCGTCTGGCCGTTATTGCCTTGAGCTGCACCATCTTGGAACGCCGATAGGAGGTTACTGTGCAACTTAGAAACCATCTTGGACAATGTAGCAGAATCTGCAAACAAAGAGATAGCGGTTGGAAGCTTCACCAGCGCATTCAAGAAGGCTTCATCTTTTGTAGGGTACTCCAATGAATCAGTGATGCGAGATTTGAAGGCATCTGGGCAGGAAATGTAGCCAGGTTGCGAGGTCTCGGCGGTGATGCAACCAGCCTCATGCAGGCGTAGCAGGGTGAAACAAGTCTCCCACTCTGACTTTTGCCATGATGAGTTGATAAACTTCTGGAAAGGCGAAAGAAGCAAGCTCTGGAATCGCTCTGATCCCCACTCCGAGAATGTTGCGCAGAAGAATAGGAAATATTTTGAAAGCTGGCCTGTGGATACCAGGTCCATAATAGAGCGAAGGAAAGGTAGCAACTCGTCCATAGGGGACATTTGAAGGGCGTATGCGACGCTTGTGAGGATCTGTGATATCGTTTCTGGCGATACATCAGACGCCGACACCTGCTGAAGCAGGGATACTTGAATCTGATGAACGGTCTTCCAGTTTTGGATTCTGACACCCTTGCGAGTTGTCACAAGTAGGAACATTATACGGCAGCACTCCGAGATATTGGGATTCGGGGTTGATTTTGAGCGTTCTTCGATATAAGCCTTGACTGTGTCAAGGATGGGTCCGAAGGTATCGGGAGTCGTGGCGTGGACAAGACTGACGACCAGACCAAATACAACTTCTGCAGGATCATTGTGGTTTTCACTCGTCGGCGGGATCTGACTTAGAACACAATTGAGGATATCCATGCCATTGGAGTGAAGCCCGTTGTTGACTCCCCTGATAGCATCGGAGAACATGGTCATCAGTCCTTCCCTGTAGTTCTCGGTATCCTTGTTGTCGTCGGCGGCTTTCGAGATATCATCGAAGAGGAATGAGACGGCAGTCTCGAGGGGTGCTTTGTTTTTGTAATAAACAAGGCCGGCCTTTCTGATAAGGAACGACATCGACTCCGCCGCGAACCTCGCCACAAATGGCTTTTGTCGTTCTTTTCCGAGATATGGAGTCATGATACTCAGCAGTTGTCGCAGGTCGGGCACTAAAAGACGAGAAAGGAATTTGAAGATCCATGCAAGACAGGTGAAACTCCATTCAACGACCTCAATATCGGGATGTGTTGCCGCAACGGACGACACCAGTGTCACTGCCGTAGCAAAATGTTTTTCGAACTTGACGCCCAGATCCCGAGCAAATTGCGCAAGCAAGCTCAATAGCGGCTCCATGGAGAACTGGTCTCTCTTCTCGATGAATTCCACCAATAGACCCATGATCTTCTCTTCATGATACAGAACTTGCGCAAAGCTCTCGGAAAGAGGGTTGACACGCCGTACGAATTGTGTAAAATTGTCTGAAAGGTTCATCTCGAACCAGTGATCGAGGGCCGCTCGGAAATAAGAGGATGTTTCGTCCTCATCTTCGCCGAAACTGGCGCGGCGCACGCGGTGGATCGGGTCAATTTTGAGCTTGGTGATTCGTGATGAAAAGCCCTCGAATCGATGGTTTTTTGTGGTTTCGGTGCCCGTTTTCAGGCGCCTAACAGGCTTTGGTTTTGAGCCTGTCCCCACCATCTTGACGGGTCTGACGAGCAGCACTGTTCGTGAGAAAGGTACTGGTCGCTTTTTTTTGGCTGATCCGCATGGAATACAAAAAAGTTCTTCGGGGCGGGATCTTATTATTCCGAAGCGGATATCTATTCACATCACGTGCTGATAAGGTGGCCCAAGCTCCTGCTTTGAAGAACCCGAGATGTTCTATCCTACGTCTAGTCGCATGTAGTTGATCTCTGGTGGTACCTTTGGATAGGTTAGGTGTTTTGTTTTTGTTTTTTTTTTTTAAAAACCCCCCCCCCCCTCGTCCTTTTTGGGGTATCTTGTCTTCCTATTTCCCACCTTTCCACCATCTTATCATCAATTTTCAAAAGTTTTCAGCGTTTTCCTTTGACAACTCAACCTACCACCAAGATAGAGCCCAAAATGGCTCCCAAGTGGTATGTATGTTCAGGTCTGCATGTATTCCAGTCACTAACCCAATCCATACGTAGTATTGTCATTGGCAGCTTGAACGGTCAGATACGGCCCGTGTTCACTAAGCTAGCCAAGCTGCAGCCAAAACAAGATTTCTCCTTTGCAATCATTCTTGGCGATCTCTTCGGTGATGGCTCGACTGAAGACGAGCTCCAAGATATTACCGCCTTGGTACAGGGGAATATCACCGTGGCATGCCCAACCTACTTCACCCTTGGTAACCGACCACTCCCCCCTCAAGTGGTCGAAAAGATTGAAGCAACTGATGAAGTGTGCCCCAACTTGTTCTTCCTGGGAAAGCGAGGAACCTTGAAGACAACAGATGGTATCCGTATTGTCGCCCTCGGTGGAACCATGGGAGAGGCAGAGGGTAGGTCCAAACCCGAGAGCAATGCTAGCGGCAAGTTTCAGCCGACATATAGTGAATCCGATGCCCGAGCACTGTTCGGTATTCACAAAACCGACATTCTTATTACCAATCAATGGCCGAAGGATGTTCGTCTAGGATCTAGCTGCGAGGTCTCTGGGGATAAAGAGACCGTGCCGGCGGAATTGCAATGCGTTGCTGATGTCTGCGCGACCCTGAAACCCCGTTATCACTTTTCTCGGTCAGACGCTGCTTTCTTCGAGCGTGAACCCTTCTTTCACATGCCAACGGAGGAGGGTCAAGATGCCTACCCACTCACTCGGTTTATTTCATTGCCTACGTTCGGCTCGACGAAAAATGCTATTTATGCCTTTACCTTGGACCCAACAGCACCTTTCCCAAGCAGTATTCCCCCGGGCTCCACCATCTGTCCTTGGTCGGCGGCGCAAAGCAGGCGCAAAATGCTCCCAAGCCAAAATGAATCATACCAGCGCTATGCCCCCTCCGACAGAGATAGAGACCCGGGACATCAGCGCCGACACAAAGAACGTGCCCCTCCGCCAGGCCCAGAGAATTGTTTCTTCTGCCTCTCGAACCCCAACATCGCCACCCATCTCATCACCTCAATCGGCAATGACAGCTACGTCACCACTGCCAAAGGACCTTTGCCCTCAAGCAACTTCTACCCTTCCCTAGGCTTCCCAGGCCATATGCTCATCATCCCCTTCGAACACTGCCCGACCATCGACCTGATCTTCGATCCGGCCACCCGATCCTCGACCTTCGCCGAGATGCAACGGTACCGCGAATCCCTGCACCAAATGCTGAACGAGCGATCAGGTGGCAAGCTCGGTGCTGTCACATGGGAAGTCAGCCGCTCAAACGGCATCCATACACATTGGCAATTCCTGCCGATGCCGGTGGAGAAAATCCGCTCCCGGCTTGTGGAAATGGCATTCAAGAAGGAAGCGTCGAACCTGGAATATTCGACGTTCAAGACCGTGCCAAATCCCGACGAAATGCACAATCACCATATGATCGATTATTTCCGAGTCTTCATTTGGACGCCTACGCCTACGCCCAACACTGAAGCCGAAGCCGAACCCGATAATTGGTCTGCACCTGAGCACAAAGGCGTGTGGAAGACTGAATCTGGAGAAGAGAATGTTATCATTATGAAAATCCTGCCGGAGAACCGATTTGATTTGCAATTCGGTCGTCGGGTTATGGGTAAGGTGCTCTATCTGGATGATCGTATCAACTGGAGGGACTGTGTGCAAACGGACGAAGAGGAGACGATGGACGCGGATGCTTTCAAGGAGGCTTTCAAGAAACATGATTTCGCGATGGAGATTGAGGAGTGAATCCGAGATCGGCAAGTTTCTTCTTCTTTTTCATGTTCGTACATGACAAATGGGTGGTGTGGTATGGGGATCCAGGGATTTTTCAACGAGGAGCATCTTCCTAAAGCTTCCCCTTCGTGTAAAGTACGATGAAATGTGACAAATGAGTTCAAAATTGAAGCCAAAATTCACAAATTCTACAGATTCCACACGAAACGCATATAAGAGATACTCATATTAACGCGTCTTCCAAGGTTCTCGGGCTGTTTCTGCTAGAAATGGAAACGTCAAGAAAGGTGTTTGACAATGCACTGATGCCAATGTCGCGCTGCGCTCGGATATTCGACGTTGAGATGTCTAAAAACCTACTACCGGGTCTAGGACTGCCGGGCTATTGCTAAGATACCTGGGCGTCCCATCGCAGCCTAACAGTACTAAACCCAGATTGCGATCCCCTCAAAGCTCAACGCCATATTCGTAGGTTCCAGCACGAGGCCAGTCAAGTGGCTTACCTACTTTCATCTACTGGGTATACATAGTACAAACCCAACATATCCCAATCAACAATCTAGAACCCCTCATAACTTGAGTTATCATCCATTTTATCAAGGTGGATCAAAGATGTGGGCATTTCCTGCTAGGCAAAACTGCGCATTGTCCACAAAATATTGTCATACAGTGGGTATCAAGCGAGTCTATCAAAGCCCACCCGAAAATGCAATAGAGTGCAAGTGGCAAGTGAGAGAAATGGTGAAAGAAAAGACCCTTTTTGATTCAACGCCCAAATTTAGCCCAGGGCCAAGTATGTATGAAGGAAAATAATACAGCCTCAGAATGGTATCAAAAAAAAAAAAAAAAAAAAAAAAGAAAAAAGGAAGAAGTTTCACCTCGATCGACGAGGGTCATACTCAAAAGTTGCTAGAAGCATTGAGGGTAGGTTTTCTCCCGCTCTGCAACAGACTCGGAGGTCTAGTATTGTCGGGCTCGGGAATGGGGGTGGTGATGGTGTGGGGGTTATAGGTAGTGTACTCTGAAGGCGAAGGAGCCGAGAAAGCAGGAGGGGGCGAAGAAGGTGCACCAGGGCCGAAGCCGCGGTATGGAGGCTGGGAGGTGTATGATGGGGGATACTGGCTAGAGCCAAAAGATGGCTGGCGCTGGAAGCCTGGTGTTGGGGCCGCGGCTGCGGAATGGTCTATCTCCGAGGATGGGGAGAAGGCCATTGGCACGGGGCTGTAATTGGTGTGCGGCTTGTATGCAGCGACGGGCGAGGGTGCGGTCACAGCGTGGTAGCCATTGCCTGCGCCGTAAGAGTGGTCATTGTAGGAGTCTTGGTATGGTTGCTGGTCGTAAGGGTTGTGGACTGCTCCGCCGGGAGACCGCGAACCATAGGGGTCGCGCCCTGCGGCGCCATAGCCAGCTGCTGCGGCTGAAGGTAACATACCAGGCGAGCGACGCCCGTACGGATCTTGAGTGGCAGCCAACCCTGCTGCTGGGCCGGGGGAACGTCGTCCGTATGGATCCTGGACAGCACTGAGTGCCGAGCCCGGGGACCTTCTCCCATAAGGATCAATTGTTGCTCCAGAGGAAGGCATTCCCGGCGAGCGTCGGCCATAGGGGTCTTGAACGGGATTCAATGCTGCTCCCGGGCCGGGAGACCGTCGTGCACGCGGATCGGTAGGTCCAAATCCTCTGTATCCCGCCGCGGTTGCGCCCATGGCTGGGTTGGGTGAATAGTCAGAGTAAGCGGCACCAGGTGTGCCGGCACCCTGCTTTCGGTCCGGGGGATTCAATGGCTCCATTTCGACCTCGTCATGATGATTCGGGTCTTCGACATGCTTGTCAACGGCACCAGCCCAGGTAGGCATCTCAGGCAGGGCATCCTCATTGACATGAGCGGCCGGAGACTTGGGCGCATCGAAATGCGCAGTCTGATGCGCAGTCTGCTGCGCGCCGCGGAATGAGGGTGGGGCTGGTGGCGCTTGATAGACCGGATTTGGAGCGGGTGGTGGAGGCTGGTGGAATGGAGGGTCATCAAAGTGTTTAGGCGTTTTGTTTCTGCGCCTGCCTGATGGACAGCAACAGCTACAACAGCACTTGCAGCATTGATAGCCACAACAGAGACAATTGAAGATGCAGCCTAATACGGCGAGTAGAATTACTGAACCGATGATGATACCAACGATGACGGGCCACCTTGCGCCAATTAATTAGTATCCTGCCAGGCTATGCACGAATGGGAAGGGAGGGTGCACGTCACTCAGGAAGAACTCACTTGCAGTAGGATTTAGCCATACATTTGTCCCAGCTGGAGAAAGTGCTTGGAACCGACTCGAGATCACTCGCAGTGTCTCGAACCCATAGTGTAATATTTGCTGGACTCATCGTGGAAATGAATAGCGGTTGCGCAAGCCGAGAGAAAGGGAATCACCCGATTGCCAATGGCTGCGGAACAGCCTTTGGCAAGTCCTTCCAGTGTGAAACTAGACGCAGTTCAGCGTGATTGAACAGTGTGTACAATCGTGCCCGGGCGCGGAGGTAGTGAGAGGGGGCGGGGCACGATGCCGAGTGTAGCAATAATAGAGAGATAATAGAGTAGATTCGAAGTCACAGCCGCGGACAGTAGATTCAATATCAAGCGAAGATGTAGCAAAATAGATGCTAGTTCAAGGTGGATCGAACAGGCAGCAAGTTACCGAAATAGAACATTTGATGAATAAAGACTGGAGATAGAGTGAGACCCTAGAGCGATCCAAGGAAACGATGAGGCGCAAGGTCTCAAAACGATGAGGCAACCACTTTAAAAGAGCGTTGAAAAAGCCTCGAAAGAGCCTTGAAGCCTTGAAGCCTTGAAGGGGCCTTGAAGGAAAGAGAGTTGAAATTGCTGAAACAGCAGTTTCCAGAGCAGAGAGGGTTGACACACGGACATTCCAAACCCCCCCATAGTTCTCCCCGCTTTCCGCCTATCACGTTCATCAGAGACACTTGAAACGACAATCCTCATTAATTCTGTCGATCTTTTTGTCTAAATTTTTTTTAAGGAGATAGAAATGAACGTATTGTGAAATTGATTTTTAGTTTTTGGTTTTTGGTTTTTTTTTCATTCTCACAAAAGGAAAAATCAAACATTTGTGAACTGGTTGTCTCCTCCGATTACCCTTTCCAGACCCAATTAAAAGCTCAGGGAAATACATCCAGAGAGAAATGGTCTGTAATACACAGGCAATTCTCGTTATGTACAGCTGTAAAGTCACTCTCGATGCAATATGCAATATTACATCAACATCCTCCTACCCCAATGACATAGTTCAAAGGGGAATATCATCGGACAATGCATTGAAATACAAATGCTCCAGAAGAATTGAGCCAAAATGACTGGCATTGAAGCATCAAGATGCAAATTTGGTACAGCGTGGAATGACGATTGATCCACAGTAGAAAGTCTGTACAGAGAAGGACCAAATTGTGGATTAAGGGCGATAATGGTGTGAAAAGAATGTTCGGGGAGAAAGGGACATGCGAAAGTGTCGGCAGAATGTTTGAGGAAAATCATCGTTGGGGGTATTGTTTTCGCGGAGACCCACGAGGTATGAGAAAATGGAAATCTGGCGAGGATAGGCCGTCTGCGTGCGCATTTTCGGTTTCGAAGTTGCGAGGTCGTTAAATAGACATATGAAAGGGGACACTCAGATTCAAATGCGTCATGAGAGTCGATGGCCCAGGGAGGATCGTGGGCGATGGTCATAGAGAGATGTGGCAACATGCCACGCAAAGGAAATATTGGAGACAGCAGGAACCCATGAGGTAAACAGGGTGAGCGGAAGGAGAGGACGATACTGATAGCAGGTATCAAAGTGATGAGGCAAAAGGTGAAGAGCGCAGGTGATCCAGCACGCCAACACAAATCAGGCCTCGGCAGGACGAAAACGGTCGAGAGAAGTTGACCAAAAGAAAAGAAAAGAGAATAAAAAAAGCCGCCGTAAAGCATCTTGGAATGCATCAGCCAAACACCACGCTCCAAGGACAAGACGAAAAAAAAAGAAAGAAAAGAAATGGAGATGCAAGAAATTGTAAAGCACCGTAAAAGGAACTGGCGAGTCGATTTAGTAGGAAAGCATCCGGCGGCCGGGGGTGCGGGCAGGGACTGGGCTTTGAGAAAATGGAGAGCTTAGGTAGCGGTTTCGCTCGTTGTCGCCAAGTCGGCAACGTCCAGTTGGGCTGTCCTCCATTTGAGGTGATTGTTCACCAAAGGCAAAAGTTTGGGCGCGGTTCAGCTTGGAGCGCTGCTTAACCTTGCCAAGTCCACGCTCGCAGGCAAATTCGTGCTCCTTGGCGCTCATTTCGACATAGTTCTGAGGGAAACAGAAAGAGCGGTGTTCAGCAAAGAATGAACTGTATCCACCATCCAGAATGTACATATCTGGGTATGACAGGTGAGGGTAAGTATCAACATTGATGGCGCGATCATGGTGACGCAGGTACTTGGCCATGATGGGAGCCCGATGGGCAGAGTATTCGCAGTGCAAGACAAGCGCAGTGCGGGCTTGGGGGACATTGAAGAGTTCACCGGCGAGACGTTCCTTGTCATTATAGTTCAATGCGCCAGTGATGTGGCCACCCTCATACTCATACTCGAAGCGGCAGTCGATGATGAGAATGTTGTCGAAGTGATCATTGAACTTGCCGTTCATGAGTTCCAGAAGAGTGCTCTTGTCGATGCGAGGTAGAGAGTCCGCGCGATCCTCAGGGATGAAGTGAGGCAGCTTCATGCTGGGCGGGCTCGAAATGTCACTAATGGACTGGACGGGTGTATTTGTCGCTACCTTGGCCTCTTTATCGGCAATAACATCTGCTGGGTTCTCAAACATACTCAATGATCGTCGGCATTGCTTGCGGGGACGCATCAAAGAATGAGAGGGTTTGCGGATTGAACTGGAGGCGGGCGAGCCGCTGTTACGGGCATGGTGGAGTGATGGCCGCATACGGGGCGGCACCAGGTGAGTGGAAGAGCTATTGCGAGAGATTGGACGATCATGGGGAGGCGAGTCCCCAAACATATCTTCCAGCGAAGTAGACGTGCTGAGAGATGTCTTGGCTCCAGTTCCAAATCGGAAGGGCGGTGCTTTACTCTCCGGTGCAGGCCGGGTCAGTCCAAGTTGGAAAGACTGAGCCTTACTCCTGGCCAAACTAGGACGCAGGAAAGTGGGCCGCTTCCTCCTGTCAGATAGAAATTCATGTTAGCGGAGCTGATGTGGTGGCTGGCTGAGTATCACGTGCACTTACTCAGGTGGGCAGAGAGGAGACTCCATTGGAGACGCTTGCAGAGGGCTGGGTAGCGGAGATCCCATTGGTGATCCCATAGGACTGCCCCCGGGTGTCGGAGACTGAATCTCGATCTCGGCAGTAACAAAAAACGCCGGCTTGTGAGGCAGTGGAGACATTTCCATCACATCCATAGCCGGAGCTGGAGAGGACGATGGGAGTGGCGGGGTGGTCATCACATCATCTATATAATGGATCAGTAACTACTCCGCCCTTCCATGGTGGTCTTTACTTACCACGTCCATTGGTTTGACCGAGCATACTGGCCGTGAACAAAGACCGCCGGGGTGTGGCTAATTGAGGACTAAATATAGAGTTAGCCGGGCTTTGTCCCTTTGACCATGAAACGACCCATGGAATCCCCTCCACATACCTCTGGTCAATATGGAAGTTCTGAGAAAGATCAGCAGCCAAGCTGGCTGTGGGGGAAGATCCTCGAATGGGTTTCATGTTGAAGTAGTCCGAACTAGACTTCTTCATAGACAATTCCTTGAAATTAAATGGATTCCCACCGAACCCGGACATTGAACCCAGGGGATAGGAAGTCGATGCCTCTGAACGAAAGCAATGGCCGAACATGACTGATGGAGGCTGCATAGCAGCGAGAGGTGAAGAGTGCTCCATGGCCGACGAATTGTCACTGGACCAAAAAGCCGACGTTGTACAGTTTTTCTGGGAAAGCAACCGGAATAGATGGAACAGAGGCAATCAGGCCCTGACCACAGATGACTACCCAGTACTAGATCCTACAAACTGAGGTTCAAAAAAAAAAAAGGTCTCAACGCAGGTCTCCACGTTTGCAATTTCAACGTTATGGGTCCCCACGATCGCCGTGACAACCAGTTCCGGAAAAAAAAATCCTAGGTCCCAGACCCTAACCACCAACGGCGAGAGTTGTATTTTGCAAAGTGACAGGATTTATCGGTCCATGGCAAGAATTCGGAGGTTTGGGGGGGGAAGTGAATGTGAATTTGGTGAATATGTCGGTCGTGATTGGAGGGGTCGGGGGGAAGCTCGTGGGTGCTGCAGGACTGAGGGGAAGGTCCCAGAATATGATATGGATTGTCGGCAATAGGAACTGAACAAAAAACCGATGCTCACAAAGGTTGAGGAATATCGAGAGTAGTTAACAAGAAGAAGAAGAAGTAGGAACAAAGCGGTTTGAAGAAAGAAACCGTGAAGCTGAAGGGATGGGCTTGTTGCAATGGGCAACGCCGGTGGGGAGGATCTCCGAATGTACAAGTAATTGAGTAATTGAGTAATTGAATAATACTGCGGCTCCGATTTTCCATGTAATCGGGAATTTTAATATTTAAATTCGGGTTAAATTTGGGTTAAATTTGGGTATGGTATTATCAGAGGTAATTGGAGGTAATCTATAGTAATCGAGGCATGTATGCGAGGTAAAAACAGCTAGTTCCATCTAGAGAGACCTGTATAAGAAACCTGTATGGTAAAAATGACCATTAAATAAAATGAATTTAAGTATATATGTTATATGGGGAAATAGGTATGCAATAGGTAAGTAAATGGTAGTAACCGGAGAGAGTAAAGGATAGACACTGGCTAGGGGGTCAAATACTTTTTTATCTTTTTGGTTGCCCGGGGCTCCCTTGCCGCAGCAACCCAGCGCCTATCAGAGCTCATCACCTTGGACGCAGTACAGAGTACTCTAGGTATGTCTTGGGTTTAGCTTTCACTCCCCTGCTCTATGGAAGGAGGATTGTCTCTGTATATATTACTTACCAAGTACTACGCTTATTCTAAATGTCTACTATTCTTTACTATTTGGTTACAAAATAGTATCCACCAAAAAACTTTTTCTTTCCCGTGTCTGTCCGTCAACCACAGGTGAGCTGAAAAAAAAAAAACCGGAGCCAAAGAGATCGAGTCTAATGCCAAAAAATTAAAATAAAATATCCACTTTTCCTGTTCTCGGGAGAAAAAAAAATTAAAGCTTCTGCAAGTGATGGGAAGCAAGTGATGAGGAAGCAAGGGCGCTTCGATTGGGAACGGCTTCTTTATTGCTTTGACATAACGTCACGATATGCTTCAATTCACCCTAAATACCCGAGTTGAACAACTAGATCCATTCTCAATTATAGTGCTAATATATGCTAATATGCTAGTATGTTAATATGTTAATATGGTAATATAGTGCTCGATCGACTCTACTAGCCCGATAAGAAGCCTGTGATCATCTTACCGAGGTATTGATTGGCCACACGGGAGAGAGAGGCGTGGAATCTCAAGATCTCATCTCCGAAATGAAAGAGAAAAAAGAGTTCGCACTATCTGGGCCCTATTAGGCGATATCGAGAGCCGATCAGAGTTTGGAATCTCTATCTACAAGGTGGTATACAAAAGAATTAGAGTAGATTGCCATTCAATGGCTTCAAGATCGGAACGTACAACGTAGTATTGAGTAAGGAATGGTAGATAATCCCATTCTTCCTCTTGAAATTGAAGACGCTATAGTGCTCTGCTCATACATACCCGTGCTGCCCTTACCTGCGCATTCTTGTTGATCAAGGGTTCACGATGGTCTCTAATGTCGCGCATCCCTTCCATCCCCCTTGGTAGGATGTTTGACTTCAATATACATTAATTGTCCAAGGGTAGTCCTATTGAAACCTTCATGCCTGACAGTCTTTGGCGCGCTTTTTACCAACCAGAGCAATTGCATCTCAATCGCAACTCAATTGCCGCTCTTGAGCTAGGGCTACTAACAGCAGTAAGGATGAAGCCGGGGTCAAAACTCACGATGAACGCGACAACCTGGGAACCCCATGAAAAGCATGGTTCGTCAACACCTTGAACAAGTTTATCAACACAAATCTCTGTTGAGTCCCTTTTGGGCTATCAGATGCGATATTTACTACGAAGCGCACAGCAATATCTCGGATTTGCCACCATGGCTTTTTACTTTTTACAAAAACATGGCATATGAAACTGCTAGTCGCTGGAGTCGGGCTATAGTGTGGCCCAGTTATAGTGGACACTCGGCTCATGGTTCACCACTGCATGGAGTACCCCACGGTGTGCTACTCTAGACCGTCTCGTGAAACACTTCGACCTTCGCTGGGCCATCCTGGTATATCCGCTCCGAGATGCGTCAGTCCTTGATCCTTTCTATTTTTTTATTTTTTCTTTACAATTGGTTGCCCTCTATGTCCATATCTCAAAGACATTGATTGTTACACAGGTCTCCCCCGTGGCCGACGATGCGGTGTGCAACTCCCACGACGCGTTGGAGGGATTCTATTGGTTCGCGATGCTACGTCATATCTACTGAACATCAATCTATCTGTGCTCCGTGCACATTGCACATTGCAAACCTGATGTGCTAATCATAGATATCCATTATTAGCCTTGGAAGTTGAAGACTCCGCCTTGAAACCTTCGGGAGTTGTCTCTGATCGCGTCTTTGTTTTGATGATATGTTGACCATAACACTGGGACAGATGCGCTCGAATCAGCATCCTCTTTCCAGGCGCTTGCAGATGCGAAACTCTCTGAAATGCTGGCCGTATCAGCCCAATTGCCCCGATCCAACTATCTCACTGCGCCACGGCTGCAGAGTCGCAGCTAAGGTGGGGTCGGAGAGGACCCCGATGATGTGACCAGTCAATTACATCGCAACGCCATGTGCGATGGGGCCAGTCAGGTCAGCTCTCGAGCCGACTTCTTCGCTGCGGGGTTCATCACATTTCCTCGTGTTCTCGATATTCCCTGCATGGTTAGGGCTGTCTAGACCTTTTCTCATCTGTGTCTCAAGATTTTACCCCTCTTATTGTCCAATGTGATGTCACGATGTTGTTGATATGGTGAAGCTTCAGGTAAACAAAACAGAGCTTCCAAGGATTCACACGAAACTAATGCGTTATCCCGTGATCACACACGACATCGAAGAGATTTCCTTGGAACTCTGTATTTTGGTATTATACATTTCTACAGTACTGGAAATACCCTTACCCTAATATATTTCCCCTGGTCTTTTCTATATTTGTCAGATTATTATTCTCCCGTCTCGGAGTCCCCGATCAGCGCCGCTATTGGTACCCCCGGTCATTTATGCGCGCCTCATCGGCTTCGTGCCTGTCAGCTCCCCTCTTTCAATCGTGCTATCACATATTAGCGACGCCCTACTCCATATTTGGAAGCTGGTGACTCCCCACATCACACAGCTCCGATTGTGGTATCTCTGTCAAATACACCCGTGATAGATCAAGAGGCTTACATACTTACATAGGCGCTGCTGGACTGGTATATTCTACCATATTTTTTTTTACCGGTCTAGACTTTCTTTTGTAGCACAGAATAGCCTCTCTTGATCATTATGATGTATATTCTATTTTTTTTTTTTTTTTTTTTTCTTTTTCTTTTTTTTCTTTTCTTTTTCTTGACTAGGATCGTATCCAGATCGTATCCAGACCACCTTAAGCTAAACCTGTAGCCAAACCCGTCTTTACTTAAACACCATGTACACTCCCCAATTCCAGTCAACCAAATTCCACTCCGAACCTCTGTACTCCGTACAACCTCCCAAGTCACACAAAGCCGTCAAATACGGTGATGGTGACATCACAAGGAAGCCCCTGAAGACGCAAAATCTGACACCCGACTCTACATCTATCACAACGGTTGCCAGGACTCCCAGGCCCACCAAGATGCCGGAATCCATATATTATTCACTCCTAGACCCATCCGCCTACATCAAAACCACCTGGGCGATTCCCACGAAATCCATTCCCACATGTTACCAGCACGACGACTACCTAAAACTAAAAACTACTTAAACCATGCAGATCCACAGCAGACGATCCCCCCATCCGTTCCAACACATCAATTCTGATACAGAGGTAATTTTCTTCCAAGCTCCATAATATTGATTCTGTCATCCCGCCCGCGCCAAATTGATAGTTCGATGCATGCTTCCTACTTTTTGCGACCTACAACATACCAAGAATGACGCTTTGTTCGGCCTACTCGTATACAGATCAGCCCCCGGGGCGGGTCGGTGCATCCGTGAAATCAGCGCAAGCGGAGCCCGGATCCTGAAGCTCGGATCCAGCGCAATTAGCGGATTACCCTCAGCGACATGCGATTGTATAAATGGATGTTGGTTTCCCGGTTGCCTTTGACAACAGGATAGTTCTGCGTCTGGACTGGTGGTTTGAGGTTGAATGGTCTGGAACCTGATCTCGTTTTTGGGATTCGTCATTACCCCTGAGTCAGTTCTTTTGGATCCCGGTTTCTCTGACAACTTCGAATACACCATGCTCTTCCCTCTATTGAAACGTTGGTTGCATGTTGTCATACCCGATCTGTTGCGTGGTTTTTGAGGTATCTTTGCTGTGGCTTCCAGGGGCTACGTTTGAGATACGGAGTACTCGGAGTACTCCGTATACTTAGAGATGGTTTTGTAGTCTTGGGGGGTTGGATTTTTTTTTTTTTTTTTTTTTTTTTTCTTTTCTTGACTAGGATCTTAAGCTGGGTGCATGGCATTTGACTTCGTGGTTTTAAATCTTCCTCTAGAATTGCTATGAGCAGATAAACATTGGTTTTGTTGAAGGTCTTCGAAGTCTTTGCTGAGAGTGGTCAGATACTACTATATATATATATGCCTGGAACCTTTTTGAAATAACCTCACACCATTCTTGGTTCTTTAAGATGGTCAATATATCATAAGTTACAGATATACTTGAAGTCTAGAAAAAAAAAAAAAAAAAAATCCACGCTCAATGAGGTCGTTTGGCCGTTCAACCCCGGTCTTTTGGAGCATCAAAATCCTTATCGGCTTATCATATCACGCTAGTCCCAAATAGGCTAAAGCATGAATTTTTCTGAGCAACTTGAACGGCCGCAAGGAGTGTTGAACGTGCCTTTGGTTTGCAGATCTCCATTGTCAAGGCCTAGGAGCGAATAGTTTGATCGCTAATTGAACCTCGCACTTATTCGCCATATCAAAACCTTCCCAGTCTCAGTAATGGGCCCCCCCTTTCCCGGTTCAAAGAAGCGCCGCCGCGAACCTCACAATGTCGATGTGAAGCTGGTGGAACTCTACGAGGATCTCGCCAGTGAAAAAGATGATATCCGACTCAAGGCTGCCCAAGCCCTAGTGTCACAATTCACTCCAGACCAGAACCCTGCCGATGAACAGATCAAGAAGGTGCTATCAAGACTCTTCCGCGGTCTCTGCAGTAGTCGCAAAGCTGCTCGAATCGGATTTTCAATTGCCTTGACAGAGATTTTGACACAGGTCTTCTCATCGCCGAGAGAGACGTCTCGATTCACCTTCTCGGATGCGCTGAACCTCTGGGAGTCTCAGTCCAGTTCCTACGGCAGCGAGTCAGGACAGGTTAGTGGCCACACATGATTTATACCGTCGCATGCGCTAACTGGGATATCCTTTCGTTTCATATAGGAACAACGCGACCACCTTTTCGGCCGTCTTTTCGGCGCCGAAGCGATCATCAAATCCTCCGTCCTGTTCCAGCCCACCGTGCCCTTCGAGCAATGGACCCAGGTCGTCGATCTTGTTTTGGAGCTTGCACAGAAGAAGCCATGGATCCGCGAAGAGTGTGGGTGGATTATCTATCAGTGTGTCTACGACCTGGCCGCGCGCAAGATGGAATCAAAGTACATCCAGTCTGCGCTGGAACAGCTCTGCGTGCGCGACCTCGCCCGGTCGCCCGAAGGTGTTGCTATCTGGTTGGCGGCGAAGGATATGTTCCCCAATGTTACCTTTCCGAGCAAGATATGGAAGCATGATGATCCCCTGGATACGAAAGAGCGCAGCAGCATGTCGAAGATCATGAAGGAATCGGGTGCTGCGGCCAGCGACGGCGAGACCAAGGTGAACACTGCGAAGTCGTCTGGCGTCTGGAACAACAAGCTTCACTTCGCCTGGGATGCGGTTCTGTCTCGGACCAGTGTTGAGGCTAAGGATAAGTCGAAGAAGTCTCGTATGACCTTCGCTGATTTCTGGACTGAGGTTGTGGACAGTGAGTACCTATCTAGCGGTGGGGTGATACATGATACATATGGAGTTGACCAAATAAAACTCTTTACAGATGGATTGTTTGCCGCCGCGTCCTCGGACGAGCGTAAATACTGGGGCTTCCTTCTTTTCAACAGAATTCTCAACGATGGCGCACCGCAGCAGGCCTCTCAGATTTTCACCAAGAATCTTATGCGATGCTTGACGAACCAGCTCGCCGTGGAGGACCGGTACTTGCACCGAATGGCCGTTAAAGTGGGCAAGGCAATCCAGGCCCGCGTGTCCAAGGAACCCGAATTCGCAGCTGCGGCTGTCCGTGGCTTGATGGGAACCAGCGGCACGCTGAACTTCGACCAGGCTACAAAGACCAAGACGGTTGAGAAGATTGTTGCTGAAGCCAACTTCGAGGCATTGGAAGAGATTGTCCCATTCTTCGAACAACTTATTCAAAACCCCGGCACAACCGAGGAGAAAACCGCCGCATCCAACCGTCAATTTGTCGCTGGTCTCCTGTTGACAATTGTGCGCTCCAAGGCTTCTGCCAGCGAAGACGATGCCGAAGACCTCCAAGCAAGCCTCGAGCAGATTCTGTCCATTTTCGTGCGCTTTGCGTACTTCATGGATACCGGCAAGGGCTCCACTGCCCCTGAGCCTCCTCTCTCATCGGCAACACAAGAACTCCTGCGCAATCGAATTAACTCCTGCTTGAACAGCCTTATTTCCAACCAAAAGTTCGCTGCTACGCTCCCATATGCTGTAGTGAAACAGATTCGCGATGCAGCTAAGTCTGGCGAATTCGGCAAGTTCATCATCGCTATCGATGAGAAGCTGTCGGAATCAGTGAAGGCTGCTTTCAAATCTCTGAAGAAGTTGTCCAGCAGGGTATTATCCCCCTTCCCCCGCTTTCAATCTTTTGGCCACTTATACTGACTACCACATAGGAGAAGAAAGAGAAGGGCATGGCCGCATTCAAGCTGCTTTACTCTATGACTATCATGCAGGTGTACAACGGGGACGCAGATGCGGTATCCATGCTTGATGAGCTAGAGTTCTGTTATACCAAGTTCCTGGGCGACAAGGAGACCAAAACGGAAGACGCCGGCGATGCCTCGGATGCGTTGGTTGAGATTCTTCTTAGTTTCGCATCCAAGCAATCGCAGCTTTTCCGTCGTATGAGCGAGCAGGTGTTTGGCGCATTTGCTAACCAGATTACCGAGAACGGATTGGAATCTTTGACCTCGGTATGTAACCTCAACCTCTGCTAGACGTGCATTTTCTAACTAGACCTAGATTCTCGAGGCCAAGGAGAGTCTTGCCGGACAGCAAGAGATGTTCGAAGAGCAAGACGACGAAGGCGAGGAAGAAGGAGAAGATGACGACGAAGAGATGATGGATGTCGACGAGGATGAGCTTGACAGCGATGTCGAGGTCATCGAAGCCGGCGGCTCCGGCTCTGGCTCTGGCTCCGACTCGGACGACGACGAGGAGGAAGAAGACAACGAAGAAGATGCACAGGAAGTCGCCGCCTTCGAAGCCAAACTAGCCGCAGCTCTTGGCTCCCACCGCGCAGACGAAAATGAGTCCGACTCCGATGCCGACATGAACGACGATGAGATGGACGAACTAGACGACAAACTAGTGCAAGTATTCCGTGCGCGTCGCCAAGAAACCTCCCACCGCAAAGACAAGAAAGACGCACGCGAGAACATGGTGAACTTCAAGAACCGCGTTCTAGACCTGCTCGAGATCTTTGTAAAGAAGAGCCACACCCGCCCCCTCGCACTGGATATCCTCCTGCCGTTGCTCCGACTATCTCGCCGGACCAGCGTGAAGCAGATCGCCACCAAGGCCAACGGAGTGCTGCGCGAGTACACGAAGGTGTGCAAGGGCAACTCTCTCCCTAAGATCGAGGACGATGCACAGGCGGAGGCGCTCTGGGAGCTACTCCGGTCTGTTCATAAGGAGGCTAGCCACAGTGGACCTATGGGCCATGCAACTGCTTGCAGCCAGGCTAGTTTGCTTGTTACTAAGGTGCTTGTTGCGCATGATAAGGATGCTATTGCGGGTGTTGTGGATGTTTATGCTGCTACTCGCAAGGATCAGCTCATGAGCACTAAGTGCCATGTGCAGCCGTCGTTCTTCTCGGAGTGGAATAACTGGTGTGTTTCTGCGAGCAAACAGTTGAAGTGAGGTTGCGGTTCTTTTGTATAGAGATTGCGAGTATGATATGTCGCTAGTTTTCAATGTCAAGGCCATTGTTATGTTCATTCAACGGTTTTACGTAGTCCATCATCATATCTAGTATCGCCTCTCCCCGATGGGGGGAGGGTTCGCCCGTAAGGGAATAATACTGGAATGTAAACGACGTCATCTCAAGCAAGGAGTGTACGATCGCAACCTGGACGAACTCATCAGATATTTTGAAGGCAGTTTTGACGATTGTATTGAGTATTTAGAATTTAGATCTTCCCGTCGACCCTGGGGGTCTCGTCGTTCGACATCCAGCGTGTCCCGCAGAAAGTCGAATATAGGCTGGACGAACATGCCGTCCTCAAGTCTCAAGTGTATGAATGACACTGCACACCCACGTAATCGCACACTATTTCTCACTGCGTGTCGGAGTAAAATGGGCCCAGATGCTGCAACAAGTGGTGTCTGTGGTATCAACACAATAGACTATGACACTGGAATCCACGAAAACCCTTACCCTCAACCAGACAACCCGTGGAGGGAATTTGAAGCAAAGAACTCGAACCCTTGCACTGGCCCAACCTTTCTCTCCTTCGCCCCCTTATA